CTATATTAAAATGTGACACCTTGCCGGTGTGATTTTGCATTGCATAAAATATTCAACAATAAGATATTTTTAAAAATTCATACTAAACAAATAATTGAAAGTTTAGGGTTTATTCAATATAAAATTACTTTTTAAGTTTTTTTTTTAGAGATGTCAATACCTATTAGAACTAGAATTAAAAGATCAAGATCATATTAGACATTTTAAAAGTTCAACGATTTATAAGACACAAAATTGACTTTAAGACTTAGTAAATGCTTTTTATAAGTTTAGGAACTAAACATTCCTAAAAAAACCATTTATGAATTTATGAGCTAACTTCAGTTCATATCAACTACTCTCTTGGAATATGCATAGCCCTACTATCAACATTATGAGCCAAAATATTAAGTTTTTTTTTAAGAGAAAAGTGGCAGATGCACTACTTTGATTAAATTTTTGGCTCTATAACATAATATTGCTGAAAATAGTCTCAGCCATGAAAAATATAAATATTTTTGAATCAATCTTTACTCTCATTTTGTAGAATGAGTGACCTTGATTCATCCATATTCATACGAGGCCAAGAATGAAGCTGAAAAGAACTTCAAATGTAGTGGTAGAAATGAGAAGTGACAACAAAGTGGAAGGCAATTGCTGGATATAAAATCAAGACTGGATTTTGAAGGTAAGTGAAGAGTGAGGACAATTAGAGGTACCGTGTGGTACGGAATAGCAAAAGATAAGCAAAAAAGGGCCCTTATTTTATGGCTTTAAGTGGGAAGAGAATGGTAGTTTTTGAGAAAATGCCGCAAGAATAATTGCTTTGCTCATCTTCCTCCAGACACAAGCATGTGACCCACCTCGCAAATAATGGAATGGAGCCCCATCTCTGGCAACCCAAAACCTGCCTCCTCCATACCAAGACACAGCGCCATAAAGTAAAGCTTTTTGTGAGAGAGAAACAAGACAGTCAAAACTTTGCATTTCGGTTACTTCACACATTACTTTTCCGGGAATTTGTATTTCGTGCGTGCGTTTCAATGGTGTCAGATCTTTTAGCTCTTTGGTGAGGAAGAAGATATGGCAACGAAGCAATATCGTATCGACCCTTCTATCTGTTTCCAGCAACAACCACCCATGTTCTAAATTCTCTCGTTTTTGTTGGAGAGAAAACCCACTTCAATGCTTCTTCCTTGATTTTCGTGTGGGGGTTTGTTTGTTTTTTTTTTTCCTTCTCTGTTTATTTTAGTTTCTGTATTCTGTTGAGACCCTTCCCCTCCGAGTTCTTGTTGTTCAGATCTGCCAGTTAGCTGAGGCTGTTGGTAAGAAATGAAAGAGGATTCCTATGTCTTAGAGGTAATACAATATTCTTGCAGTTGAAGTTTCTATTGGAGTTGGGACACTCAATTGCTGAATGGGTTTTGATGGGTTTATGATTCCTGTTCGTTCATGAGTGTTGGCTGAATCATAGTTGATATTTTCTTTCTTCGTCATATTGAAAGAGCTTATAAGACCAGATTTCGTTCATTGGGGAAGATGGGGAAGTTTCAAATCCGGAAATTCTTGATTCCTCTACTACTTCTGATAATTTTTGAGTATCTACTAACTGGAGACGCCAAAACCAATTCTCTTTTCATCAACTGTGGCTCAAGCTCAAACGAAACTGCTGATGGGCGGAAATGGATTGGCGACCTGACTTCCGAAGTGAACTTTTCCGTGGGTAATCTTGGTGCTAATGTCAATGCCTCCACTGACACTTTAAACGGCGATTCAGTCTTTGAGCCGCTGTACAAAACTGCTCGAATATTTACTAATTCCCTGAACTATACTTTTAAAGGCGTTTGGGGTAATCATTTGGTTCGCCTCCATTTCTGCCCCTTTCCTTTTGAGAACTTCAATGTGAACGAGTCATCATTTTCTGTCTCAGCAAATGGTCTTAGACTGGTTTCAGAGTTCAGCGTTCCCAATGAGATTGCATATAAGAATATGGAGTTTCAGCGTTCTGGGGTCAATTCAAGTTCATTCTCTTTGATTAAAGAGTTCATTATTTCTGTCAATTCAGAAGCATTTGTTCTTGAGTTCTCCCCTTCTGGAGGATCATTTGGGTTCATTAATGCTATTGAAATCGTCCCCCTGGTGAATGAGCTTTTTGCAGGTTCGATTGATAAGGTGGGTGGAAGTGCTGTTAGTTTGAATGTGAGTGAAAGGGGAGCTGAAACTATGTACAGATTGAATGTTGGAGGTTCGGTGATCAAGCCCACTCAAGATTCAAATCTTTGGAGAATGTGGGAAGTGGACTCAAGTTATATGATTACAGCAGATGCTGGGTCGGAGATACATAACAGTTCTAATGTAACGTATGCTTCCATGAATGACTCCATTGTAGCTCCTCTCCCTGTGTATGAAACAGCCAGAACGATGTCCGAGACTGAAGTGCTCGAGAAAAGATTTAACATGTCGTGGAAATTTGAAGTTCATCCTGGTTTCGAATATTTGATTAGATTACATTTCTGTGAGCTGCTGTATGACAAGGCAAGAGAGAGGGTTTTCAAGATTTACATAAACAATCGAACTGCAATTGAGAGTTTTGATGTGTTTGTACGAGCGGGGGGGATGAACAGAGCATATCATGTGGATTTTCTTGAACCAATATCGTCCAAAATCAACACCCTTTGGATTCAACTAGGCCCTGATACGGCTGCAGGTGCTGCCGGAACAGATGCTCTCTTGAATGGTCTGGAAATATTTAAGCTGAGTCAAAATGGGAATCTTGCGTTCATTGACAGGTTTAATGCCTTGGAAGAGTCCATGGGAAACTCGAAATCTCAAATTCTTTGGATAGGCATTGGAGCAGGTTTGGCATCTGTTGTTTTCCTTGCTGTTATTGTCATTCTCACCATCTATTTCTGCAGACACCGGAGGAGGAATTTTACTAAGAAGAACTCTTCTAAGTGGAGAGCAGGATCCAGTCATGGGGCCACTGTCACCAGCACCTTGGGGGGAGGCCAAAGTGTATTTGGGACCCTGCCATCTACCAGAGTTGGCAAATGGTTTACATTAGCAGAGATTCTTGCAGCAACAGATAACTTTGATGAAGCTCTGATGATCGGAGTTGGCGGTTTTGGTAAGGTCTACAGAGGGGAGATTGACGATGGTACTCTTGTGGCAATCAAGAGAGCAAACCCGCAGTCTCAGCAGGGACTTGCCGAGTTCGAGACCGAAATTGAAATGCTTTCTAAACTTAGGCATAGGCATCTGGTCTCCATGATCGGCTTTTGCGACGAGCAAAAGGAAATGATCTTGGTTTACGAATACATGGCGAATGGCACTTTAAGAAGCCATCTCTTTGGGAGTGATCTCCCACCTTTGACATGGAAGCAGCGATTGGAAGTGTGCATTGGTGCAGCCAGGGGACTCCATTACCTTCACACAGGAGCTGAGAGAGGAATAATCCACAGAGATGTGAAGACGACCAACATACTCTTGGATGAGAACTTTGTTGCAAAAATGTCTGATTTTGGTCTTTCAAAAACAGGTCCTGCTTTGGATCATACCCATGTTAGTACTGCAGTTAAGGGCAGCTTTGGCTACCTCGATCCAGAGTATTTCAGGCGCCAGCAGTTGAGTGAAAAATCTGATGTCTATTCTTTTGGTGTGGTATTGTTAGAAGTTGTTTGTGCACGAGCTGTTATAAACCCAACTTTGCCCAAGGATCAGATAAATCTTGCAGAATGGGCAATGAAATGGCAGCGCAAAAAGTTGCTGCACACCATCATAGACTCACATCTCAAAGACAAGTATTGCCCTGAGTCTCTTAAAACATTTGGAGAGATAGCAGAAAAATGCCTTGCTGATGAAGGCAAGATTCGTCCAACAATGGGGGAAGTTCTATGGCACCTAGAATTTGCTATGCAACTCCATGATGCTTGGATCCGCACCAATGATGCTCAAAGTTCTTGCACAGTAAACTCAGAAGGAGCCCAAGCTGAGGAACAGAGGGTAGAAGTTGATCGGGAAGAGGAAAGCTCCAGCTTGAAAGCTTCAACTCCAACTGATCACTTATCCTAATGGATTTGGTCACATAACTAGTAAGGCCAACTGCCTATATTCAATTAAATCTTTATTTCTTTGTCATATTCTTTCGGATTTGTTCTTCCACTATAGCAGTATGAATCTTAGATTTTCCTGCTTCCTTGTAGCTCTCTACTGATATCTGCATTATTGTATTGCTCAAAATGTAATTTGTCATACACGATAGGCTTCTCTGCTTGCAATGGGTGTCTTCTGCTAATCGTCGTTGCATTTCTTCATAAACATCTTCAAATTCTGCTCAGTTTCCTCCAAATATCGTTTATTTTGTTGAGTCTGCTATCATCTAGAAAGCGATTTGAAGTACGGTTTTGCTGCTTATATCAAGTAGTTGTTCTTCACATTTTGAGAAGAAAGTGATTAGCCAGAGATGTTATAGAGTCAAAACCAAACTGTTCTGAGCATCAATGGCCGTTTCATGAACTCCTCTGAAAATCTAAAGAGCCGTGGTGATGTTCAGTGGAAGGCAACAACAGTGCAGGAGATATCATCGTAGCTCTTCCTAGACAAAGCCTCTTTGATCAACTCCTCTGAAGCCTTTTGAGTATCCACAGCCATTGCTCTGATGCAATGACAAGCCTCCTGGTTTGAAATTACCTGCATTTCCAAACAAAAAACCAAAACAGAGCACCATCTCAGTACCTCTTAGGATCAAACCAGCCAGCCCTGTAAGTTACCATTGGTTTACTGTACAAGAAAGATTAATTATGGAACAAGTGCTCAGTATCTCTGAGCTTTCTTTAGGTTTTTCTTGTTGAGTCAATATTTTTATGAACTTAGCCTTCAGGGCCTGCAGTGTACAGAAAAAGTCATAGAAAAGAACACTTTTACATGTGAAATATCTTTCCCTTTCCAAATAAAAGCTCAACAGTACAACAAAATAACATGTTGTAGGGTACCCCACAAAGATCATAGAGTGTATACATCATTCAGAAAGCTTTATTAAATAATGGAAGGGAGGCTGAAGAATTTTTCGTAGCTTAAGGACACTAAAGTATATATATATCTAGTGCCGCCATGTCTGAATCTCAAAATGAATATGAGGAGAGGATTTATTTTACCATTTCAAACATACATGGTGGGACGGCCAAATTAGACTCCTTCAAATTCATCAACCTTTCCTTCATCCATATTCTGTCTATAAAAGGAAGCCTTTTGGATTCTCATTTCACAAACTCTTTAATTCTCTTTCTGCAAGCCCACCTATATATTATATATCCTTCTCCCTTATTGCTTCATTGGCCATGGCATCCAAAGCTATCATTTTGGAACTTCTCATTGCAACCTGTGTCGTCGCTGTTTTCGCATCTGATCCCAGTCCTCTTCAAGACTTTTGCGTTGCAGACCCAAATAGTATGGGTAAGTAGATAAGTAATCCTTTCAAACATCTAACCTCTTACTCGACCACTTAGCTTAGCTTAGCTGGGTAGCTTTCGAAGGTTATTTTAACATAGTTTTTTGGTTATGCTTTTGCAGTGAAAGTGAATGGAGGTGTGTGTAAAGATCCCAAAGCTGTGACAGCTGATGATTTCTTCTTTAGTGGACTCCACAAAGCTGGGAACACATCAAACCCAGTGGGATCTCGAGTGAGCGCTGTGAATGTGGTTCAAATCCCTGGGCTCAACACTCTTGGCATCTCTTTGGCACGTGTCGACTATGCGCCGAGGGGCATCAACCCGCCACACACTCACCCGCGTGCCACCGAGATCTTGACTGTCCTGGAAGGAACTCTCCTCGTCGGCTTTGTCACCTCCAACACCGAGAATCGTCTCTTCACCAAGGTGCTTCAGAAGGGTGATGTGTTTGTTTTTCCCATTGGTCTCATTCACTTCCAGCAGAACATCGGATACGGACACGCTGTTGCTATCGCTGCGCTCAGTAGCCAAAACCCCGGGGTTATTACCATTGCTAATGCTGTGTTTGGATCCAATCCTGACATCCCAACTGATGTTCTTGCAAAGGCTTTCCAAACTCATAAACCCATTATCGCTGGAATTCAAGCCAAGTTCTAAACAACTTTTATGTTTTCAGTTCTCCTGATTGTGAACAAATCTTTGATTCTTTATTTTCTTGGATGCGTGTTTCTGTTTGTATTCATTTTTTTTTTTTTTTTTTTGGG